TTGTGTATGAATTTCATCACAATCATCTTCGTAATAAATATTAATCTTATTTTGAATTTATAATGATAAAACGGATGGAAATAGTGTACGTCAATCATGATCATGTTTTTTCCAAAAAACAACTATTTTCCATAAAATTATTAAATATAAGCTAGCATAAAAAAAAACGTGTGCGTAACGTTATACACGTATAAATACATAAACATATGTAGTTGTGCATATATTTGTATAGAGATTGTATGTATATATTCTTATTATCGAACATCATTGAACACTTATCAATTGCAGAATAGGCATTATGTATCAGTGTATTGTGTTGTTCATTTTATAACGAAATATATGTAATAAACAAAACATACATCAATTTATGCATTGTTTAGCACAATAATATATTTAAAGCTTAAATACTTGCACTACTCACCACGAGAGAGGATGTATATTAGCAGCGTTTCATATTAATCGACATATCGACTGCTTTAATATATGCAAGGTATTTATCAAAATAAAAATGAATGCCTACGTACAAATCAATTATTGCACAGAGTTTAAATGATGAATTTGAATAACTTTTTTAACGTTCCCTGACGCAATGTTATTATTATTCTGTATAGAAATAATAAATTTTGCGAATGGATGTTTGCAAGGAAACGATGAACTACGCACTTTGGATTCCAAAGTGTGGATCAGTGTGGATGTCACGCACAACGAATATCACACTTCGGTTGCTATTAATTAATATTACGTATTGCAAAGCACCATATATAATCCTGCGAATATTTTACAAGAAACATCCATCCACCATTCGCTCATTTATATGACAGAACTTATTGAAGAATATATAACATGAGATTTTACATGCAACCATGCAACTGCTTGCCAGCGGATATTTGTGTTTGTGTGTGGGTCTCTCAGTCTCTCACCACAGGTCCCTAGACCCTACGCGCTAGTGATGTTAGCATCACTGTCGTGATCATCACTTTATTGTTTCGTTGTTTACGATCGTCAACCATTCGCAATTACTACTGATCGTTCGGTAGGAAGAACATTTTGTCTCTGACACTACTAAACGAATATAAGTTAATCGATAATGGGGCAAGTTAAAAATTTGGAAACAGATAGCATTTCACCTGACACCGAAAATATAATAAAAGAATGTACTAATATCGCTGATGAAGCTAACAAACGATACAAATGTACCTTCCCTGAGTGTAGCTTATCTTTTCTTAGACCATCACGATTAGAACGACATATTAGAGTTCACACAGGAGAGGTAATACTATTTTCATTCAGTTTCTATCATCTCTGTAATCTTGTTTCTTGCAAATAATAAATAAATACTTTCAGAGACATTTTAAGTGTTCATATCCTGAATGTAATAAGGCTTACACAAATAATTGTCATTTAAAGAGGCATATGAAATTCCATAGTAT